ATGTAGGAGGAAGCAGAGGGATGAGGATGTGCAGAGGGAAGGGGAATGAATCATGGAGTTGTACAATTTGATGGGTGGGGGTTGGAAGAATCTGTTCTGGAAAACAATGTATTTGAATTTTGTAAATAAACTAAAATAATTAAAAAGAAAAATATCATTTGACTGGGTGAAGTAATTTTGCACCTGGGCTAGTTTTAAAAAGGCTTGCTGCTAGCTTTTGTTACCACACAGAAGGCACAGTATTTAGCATCATCTGCAGATACACGTTGAGGCTACAGTTTGTGGCACATGTGTGTGTGTCCACACACACACACACACACACACACACACACACGTCCTTACATCCCTCACTAAACTGCCTGCAGTCATTACAGTCTGCCTCTGTTGGAGACTTTTCCTCTAACCACCCCCTTCATACCCAGGCACACTTTTTTTACTCTGGTGGAGTAGTCTGTAAAACGTTATGCTTCTAACCCCAAAACTACAAAACTCTCTGGTCATTCAAATGCACCAGCAGCTCTGCAGGAGAAAGATGGACAATCTATCCTGCCATTTACAGCCTTGGAAACCCACTGAGTCGATTCCCTCTGCAGAGCCGTGAGTTTGCATTTGACACTGTTGCCTTAGCCTGTCTAGATTCATCCCAGCTACAAAGCACTACGTTATCCTGTCTTTCTTTCTAAGAGAGAATGTTATCTGTCTTAGGCACCAACTTAAGTTTCCCAGGGCTGAGCATCTAGAAGAAATACAAGCTGCTTGTTACTAATACCAGCAGCCTCTCAGCACATTGGTTATTTAAGCCACAGAAAGCTCTGTCTCTGAATTGTCTGACCTGAGTTCTCCACCCCATTAAAGGCAGGGGAAGAAAGAATAGGAGAGAACAAAGCACTCACCCTGCCTTGCTGGCGAGCTTCCCAGGGTATGTCTGAGAGGCACTCAGAAGAAACCTTGAGAGTCTCAGGTTGCTAAGGCACCAGAGGTGTGTTTCTTAACAAAACAAACTGTATGATTTGCCTGTCAAATCCTTCCTTCCATGTTGCCCAAAATGGTTCTTCCGGACGTTCTAGAGCTAATAAAAGAAAGCTAATTCAGAGAATCTGGAGAACAGGATAAAGGGTGGTTCAGGTGCTTGGTGTCCTGGCGTGGGAATGGGTGGGAGAATTTTCAGTTTTTCCCCACTCTACATTTCCTAGGGAGCTCTGGTAACTTGCTGTTGTGTACCAAAGAGTTGGAAGTAACCCCTAGCTGACCCTCTAGCAGGTTTTCAGAGGCAGTTAATTGCACAGGAGGAGAGTGCCCATTCTTCTTCCATGGAGCATCTGGTAGCTTTGAACCATGTGTCTCCAGGATTATGGCACAGCTTCCTGCCATTAGGCCACCAGAGCTTCCTGGTAGCTTAGTGGTAAGGAATTGTGCTGCCAACCAAAATGTGCACAGTTCAAATCCACCAGCTGCTCTACGGGAGAAAGATGGGTAATGACTCATGTAATTTATTGCCTCTGAAAACCTGCTGGAGGGTCAGCTATGGACTGGTTCTGACTTGATGGTACATAACTGTAATAACTACATTTCTCTGTTACACACAGAGAGTCTCACATCCCCAAGAGCCTCCAGTGCCCATCCTGCTGTGTCTTGATGTAATTACAGGGCCAGGCTCCTGGCTGGTCATCCCTGGAGGAGCTGAATTCACTTCTCCAACTCTGGAATCATCCATCCCTGTGGCAAGTTACTCACTCAGCAGGATCCACCTCATTTAGTGTGAAGATATTATCTGTTTAATCCTCACTGAACCCATATGAGTTTCATCTCTGTCACACAGTATGGTTTCCTTTTAATCAATGAGGATTTAGATTGTAGGGAAGGGAGCGACTTAACTAGAAAGTCCACAAGTATTATATTGAACTCTAGAACAATGCACTATGTTTTCAGAGCTCAGCGGAGGCTTTTCATGTGGCTAACATTTTGAACTATTTCACCACATAATGATCATTCAATATTAAATTCATTACATGATGGTATTAATAATAGTTTACTGCATGCAAAGCAGTTTTATACAAGAAAAAAGCTCAGAGTAGTTCTTTATGGCTATCAGGCATTAAAATTAACGAGATTTGTTTTTATGCTTTTGAACGCCTGCTCTCCGTAGTCTAAGGTCCCCGAGTAGTTTTACCAATGCAGCTATTTGAATACATGATGGATTGGCATCCACTTCATAAATAACATGCCTCCAGAAACTCTTACAAACTTTGAGAAATGCCATTAGTTGTAGAGGGGCTTCAGGCCTTTTGTTCATAGGGTCACTATGAATCATGCTTGACTGAAGGTAATCAACAACAACAACAACATGTGCTGCTATCCCTTGTCTGTCTGTGGAAGTGCGAGTGTTGCTTTGTTGTAGAAAGGTTCTAGAAGAGCTTCCAAATTTAAATGGACGAGGAATAAAGACCTGGCAATCTACTCCCAAAAATCATTCAATGGAAAGGTTATGCACCGCTATGGTCCGATCTGCAACCAATTACTGGTTTGGCACAGAGCTAGGCAGTGCTTCATTTTATTGTCTGTGGATGTCACCAGGAGTTGAGGAGGGAGTGGTGACATGATGGGAACTAATGGCAACAATGTAATTCTACAGTGTCTTTAAAATAGAAATATCAAGCTTCCTATAAGCACACACCTCACAACATTGCTGTCCCGAGAAAATACCACAGATGTTAGTCACAATATTTAGCCCACAGCAGGTACTGAAGTGGCCACAGTGGAAAAACTTCTCCGTGATTTTGTCTGCACAAGCACTGATTGCAGGTAGGACCAGAGGGATGCACAGAGGGAGATAACACGTATCCTCAACATAAACTGGGTGGAGGAGATACCACATTAACATATACTGGGTGGAGGGAGTGTGTAAATACACACTTCATCTCATTTCATTCTTAACCACACAGGGGGAGGAGGTATAATGAATATACCTGTTTTACAAATGAGGACTCTTGGAGAAGGAAAGGAACGTCACCACCTGCACCATAGTGCAGGGCTTGGGTCTTCATGACACCGTTCTTTCTTCTGAAAGAAGCCTTACTACAAAGTTATTGGACCTGGCACAAGGAACGGAAACATCCAATATTAAATAATGAAATCTAAAGATCGAGCACATGTAATTTCCCCGACTCCATTACTACCAATATTAAGAGCATTTTGATCAGAAATAGAGACGTACACAAATCTGTGTCCTAGAGATAGACTCTTTATCCCCTCTGTTAAGTGGATCAGGGAGCCCCTGGGTGGTGCAAACTGAATGATTGAATGATCACATCAACCCAAAGGTGCCACAGAAGAAAGGCTTGGCAATTACCTCTGAAAATGTTGACTTGAAAACCTGGTGGAGCACAGTTCTGCTAGTCTACATACAGAGTCTCCATGAGTCCACGTTGATTCGACTACAAACATTGTCTTTTTTAGGTGGGGTGGAATAGCTCTTAAATGCCTCTTCAAGTCACATCAGTTAGAAAAGAAAATCAACAGATCGATTTGCCTGAACTGGTTGAATGCTGGCTAACTGTGGCTGGTGACTGTACTCACAGCTGGTGTTAAGTGGGCTGGAACATCCTACCAAGAAACACATGCACATCTGTTTACAGTAATACTATTGATTCATTTACCTTTATTAAGTAATCTTTGGCCCTTAGTCGATTCTGTATGTTTCACATACACTAACACACATTGAAATATGTTACTCTGACCATATCTACTCACACAAATCATCCTTTCCACTGAAGGTTTCACTAGTCTTTTCCTGTTAAATTTATGTGGCCAATTGAAAGCTACAGCTCTCCCATTACTCATTAAGACTGGCTGGCAGGGCATATTATAAATAACACTCACTTAGCCTTTTAGCCTTTCTGGACAGACTGGGTCATCTGGCCAGTCTTCTTTTGTACTGCCTTGGTGACACCCACAGCAACTTCCTGCCTTGAGTTACAAAGAGTGAGACTAGCAAGAGTGGTCACTTGCAAGGCCACTCAGAATCCCCGTGGACTGAGCCCCTGTGCAATGACTCCTCTCACTATGTAAAGTGAACCAGTGCTCCTGAACCAGTGTTCCTCCCAGGAAACTGAATTCTAAAATTAAAATGAAGTTAGCAGGGGTGTTGCAGCATGTGTGATTGTTAAGTGCACTTGGTTGACTTTCTTTGGCAGTGTTTCGAACATCCTTTTGAACATACCATATGCTGAACGGACAAGGTTTAGCATTTGTTAACTTCTCATCTCAGGCCATTCCTGCCTTCCCTGACATATCCCCCTTCTCGAAGTTCTTTATGAGTCCCTTTTCCTAATTTCAAGGCCTGCTTCTTCACAGCTCCATGTTCTACTCCAAAGGAGGCTATGATAGTGCCTGGAAGCAATTTGAGTCTTTTAATATTTGTTTCAAAATAACAGCCAACATAGACATGTAACCACTAATGGGAGTTTGAGGCTGGCAGATTTTAGGCTCAACAACAGCAACTTTTAGCTACACACACACACACACACACACACACACACACAGTCTCAACTCTTTTCACCCTAGAATTCTCGTATTATTCTCAGACAAGGCATCTTTATTGCAGAAAATAAAAGTAAACAAAAGAAAAAAGTAAGGAGATACCCAAATATTTCCAACTTGATCAGAGACACCCTGTTAAGCGTATGGTTCATGGTCTTCAAAACCTTTAACTGTGGCTTCATATCTATGTTCTAAGGCATGACAGCTTCTTTTTACCCTGTAAAAAAAAATTATTTTCTCCTTATTTTTAATTTTTTCCGAGAAATATTTCTGTGACTTGTCCAACTCTTCTTTTGAATGTCCTCTCCTGACCCCATCATCACTGGAGCTTTCATCCATCCTCCAGCCCGGACCAAGGAAGGTGCTCCTGCAGTCTACATACCAGGCTCCTATTGGCATGTCTCATTAAGTCAACGTCATCCTAATAGTGGCCTTTTCTTTTGTTCCTTTGTTCTCCACAGCTTTTTGCCATCTTCGCATTTGCAACATGCGGTGGCTATTCCGGAGGCCTGCGGCTGAGTGTGGACTGCGTCAACAAGACGGAAAGTAACCTCAGCATTGACGTAGCATTCGCCTACCCGTTCAGGTAAGAGTGGTGCCTCCCTCCTGTCCAGCTCACAGAGACAAGAATTTCTTCCTTCTGTGGTGTCTCTAAACTAGACAGGGCTCAGATAAACAGGAAGATTCCATTTCAGCTCATCAGCTAGGGTCCAAACAAGTAGGAAACCTACCCATCACCCCAAACCAGCAAGATGTGTGAACTGAACCTTCAAAGGAAAATGATCCCTTAAAAAAAAATGCTATGAATGGCCCAGTATTGGGAGCTATCAATACAGAGACTTCATTTACCTAAATCTTTGTTCCTCATGCACATTCCCAATCTTAAGGTCCCTTAAAGTCTCTGTAAAATTATACCCTCTCTGATTTCACATTGGCAATTCAATCTAGGGTGATGTGTTTAATACCAATAATTTATAAGATTTTTGTTGTGTGGTAGATGTTATGCTTAGCTGTTAAATGTTTTCTCTTACGAAGTCACCACACCAGCCCTGTGGCTTGAGGACTGTTCACATCATTGTTTTACAAATGAGGAAAGTGAGGCACAGCTACATCTTCTACCTCCTCTCAGTCAGCAAAAAAGCAAAGTCAGCATTTGAACCTGTCTGTTTGGTTTTGGTGGGTTGGGTTTTTTGGGGTTTTTTTGGTGTTTGTTTGTTTTTAACTTTTTATTTTATTTATGTGTGTTTGTGTGTGTGTGTCGGTGTGTGTGTGTGTGTGTGTGTGTGTGTGTGTGTGTTCCTTCAAATTGGATCTGACTGATATAGGAGGAGATTACCCCTCCTTCTCTAGCAAAGCATCTGGTGGATATGAACTGCACGCCTCTGAGATTACAATGCAATTTTTTGCCACTAGGCCACCAGAGCTCCCTTGAGCCTGCCTGTTTGAACTCACAGCTCACACTCTGTATTGCTGCATTTAAATTGCTTGACAAGTTCAATTTTACCCTCTTTATGAATTCAGTAGCATAGATAGAGCCTTACCTGGGCCCATATTTGGTCTATAAAATGCTGGCTCATTGCCTACCAGGATTTTTCCCAAGAATAACAGGATTATGAGCCACATACCTCAAATGGATTAATTAAATTTGATGTTTAAATAGTTTATTTCTGTAACACTTACAAATACTTGGTGCCAAAGAATTGTTGTGATTTTAAAAAAATAACTATTACTATAATGTTCTGGCATCTTATTAATATGACTCTCTTGTTCATTACAATTTAGTATACCATAAAATGTAAGTATTTTCTTTGTTCTAGACCTTATACTAGATGTGCATTTGTAGAGAAAAGTAGAGATTGCACTGCCAACCTAAAGGTAGGTGGTTTAAATCCACCAGTTGCTTTAAAGATGCTTTAAAGGAGAAAGATTGACAATTTCCTGCTCTGCAATATACAGCTTATGAAAATCCACTGGAGAGTCAGCTATGAGCGGCTTCTGACTTGAAGGCAGTTTGAGGTTTTGTTTTACTTCTTGATTTCCTTAAAAACAACAACAACAACAAATGTAGTATTTTCCAAAATATATCCCATGAAACTTTAATCAGCGTTACTAGGGAAAAAGATAGGTGAGAAGGCCAAGTTCAGGAAATGTTTCTTAGCAACTTTTCTAATACTTATTTTGAATTACCAAAAGGGACAGTTTTCTCAAAATCTGCTTGACCACAGAACTTGCCTTTACACTCAACATTTCCAAGAATTTGTACACCATGATTCTTTCTCTGATGGAGTTCTGGGTGGGTTCAAACTGCCAACCATTAGGTTTGCAGGGGAATGTTTAACCACTGTGTCATCAAGGCCCCTTAGGAAGCACTTCTCTAATACTTTGATCTAGTAACTATATCAGGGTAAAATTGTCCCATTTGCAGGAAATCTCAGGTAGTGATATTGATAGCAAAATGCATACAGATAAGTGTACTGAAAGATCTTAGAAGCAGAACTGACAAAAGTTGGAAATACACCTGTTTGCATAGATACTTGCTTAAATAATGATTGCAAAGTTGAAAAATTTTGGGCCTAGAATCTCTATTAAATCAATAGTAAGTGTTTCCTTTGTTGCTGGAAATGGGGATTGAGGGTGTCATTTCTGAAAGTTCTGGATAAACTCCTCAGCTTCTAAAAGAGAGGGGCCAGCCAATGCTAGGATACTGTGTAACTGCCAGTGGTTGGTCTACAGGGTTGAGATGCTTAATAAGCTGACTCTTGAAGCGAATAAGGTCTAGCTTGTCTTCTGGAATGACTTCCCACCAAGACAGAAGCAAGTGTGTCATAGGTCAGTCTTTCAAAATTCTAGGCTTCCTGGGAGAAATTTAAAAACTGCTTTTTCAGAGGAAAGCTTTATCACACTTCTTCTATTGTCTGTTCTATCTATCTATCTATCTAGAGCCTACTCTGGAGAAATCAAGATTAGCCTATCTCCTTTTGTTCCATAAAAGTCCCTGTAACACACCCATGTTTATCATGACTTTGTTCACAGTAGCAAGGAGTTGGAAACAACCTAAGTGCTCATCAACAAACGAATGGATAGAGAAGCTCTGGTTTATTCTCACAATGGAATACTATGCTGCATTGAAAAACAAGGAATTCAGGAAATTTATTCAAAATGGATGACCCTGAAGGACATTATATTGAGTGAAATATCTCACTCACAAAAGGACAAATACTGCATAGTGCCACTGTTATAAAATGGGACTGACATAAAGGTTCTGGGGGAGACTGAGAAAGATGGGATAAATTATGTATACTGCATTGAAACCTGTTAAAAAGGTATATATGATTAGGTATTATTGTCATGACATGAGTCCAGAATGAAGGCTGCAAAGTGGAGTGAACTTGGGGTGATGGATTACATAACAATGAAAGAATTTTCTTTTTCAAAGAGAAGAGCAAACTGGAGCAGAGGGTGGGCAGGGAGAAAAGTGCAACAATAAATTAATGAAACTCAAAAATCTCTGTAAATTTTCATTAAAAGAAATAATAATGAACAAAAAAAAAATAGAAGGGGAAAAAAGTCCCTGTAAAAGATATCTATACCATTCCAGAGTGACTCCATTTTACTGATGATATGCATTTTAGAGATGCAATTTCAATTTACATTCAGATACTTTAAAACGTTGTACCATTATCCTCTTGGGGAAAGATCTGAATAATAACCTACCACATCTATAATTTATATAGGTTATTTTGAAGACATTTCTTTCAAAAGAAATTGGGTTAACAGGATGCTGATAATGTAAATCATTAAAAAGTTATTTTCCCCTAAAACCTCACAAGTCAATGCCAGTGATTTGATCATAATCTTAGAAATAAAATAAGTGTTCAGCAGCTTCTAACAACTCCTTTTATTGCAAAAAGAGAAATAAAACAATAAAGAGTACTGCCAAGTTATTTGAACAAAGCAATTTGTTTGGAAATGGCAGATCAAAGGAGGCTATTTAACTAGTTGTTGGACAGATATTTCACAATGTGGAATAGTGTCAGTTTGTAAGGGAACGTTGCTGTTGTGTCTGATTAAGTCAGAATTGACCCATCACTGACACTATGGGGTTTTAAAATCTACAGGAGTAGATGGCATATCCTTCTCCGACAGAGCAGCTGGTCAATTTGAACCACATGCCTTTGGGAGTGCAATGCACTTTCTTACCTCTAGTTCACCAGAGCCCCCTAGATAACTTAAGAAATATTTCTATTTCTGCTATTAATAAATATAACAATGTGTGTAACTTTTAGGAATACATACAAGTACTCCTAACTCATATTTGTATCAAAAGGAATCTACATTCAGCAATCTATCCTTTTACTTTGGGAATAAAATACTTGTCCCTTGACCTTCCTTTTGATTTGTGATTAAAATGAACTAGTATTACTTACATTTTGCCCCATTGACTGCAAAGTGCTAAATTTGTGTGGGGCTTATTTGATAAGCAGAATCCTGGATTCCACTATTTTTAGCACCTCCTTTATACTGTGAAGTGTGAGATAGAGTTTCTCACTCTAAAGAATGTATTTGGAGGAAGAATGTCTACGTGAGGAAAGTCAGCTAACACTTTTCAACTGTACATGATGCTTGTTGCATAAGGGATTGAAAATGTTGAGAATAGAGAGGACAGAATCCTAGAGGAAAAAATCTTTTATCAAGTAAGTCATACTTTAAAAGTTCATTTTGAAAGATTGAATTTTAAAAGTCAAATATGGAAGAAAATAGAAGGCATAAAGATAGAATGTGATGAATGGAGGAACAGTTGAGAAAATAATGCCACCTAAAAATGTGCTAAAGAGAGAGCAAGAGAAAGAGAGAGATTCTAAAGATTGACCTAAAGGAAATTTTGCAAATACAATACTGAAAAGCCAACCCAACATTTTAATTGTATCTAGTCTATTGCAATAAAAACAGGAATAAAGCCATGTCCAATTGATTTAAAGCTTGATGACTAGATGGAGAGAATGCAAAAAAATAACTTGGAAAAGTAGATTTGACCTGACTGTAGAAAGTCTTGCTTGAATCCCATGTGATTGGATATGGAGAAAGAGTTCAAGGTGAGAGAGAGAGGGAGGGAAGGAGGAAAAGAGAGGGAGGGAGGGAGGGAGAGAAGGAGGGAGGGGAGAGAGAGAGAATGAATAATAACAAAAATCATTCTGAAGTGGAGAGTAAATTTGAATTTGATCATGCACATTTTCAAGGCTTTACAAGTAGCAAAATGTTGCCAGGGAAATTTTCTCATAAGGTTTGAAATAAGACTTACATGAGAAGAAGAGAGGTGGAATCAGAAAACGGAGCTCTGAGAAACTTCATAGATGAAACAGACATCACAAGGATAGATGAGAGGTGAGAACAGATCACTAAATTTTGGGTAATGTTCACATTTACAAGAATGGAAGAAGAGTAGCAACTGAAGGGGTACTAAAGCGTCAGATGAGAGGTTTTAAACTTTTCCCTTTTTGTGAAAAGGTAAGAAAACTGTGAAATCTGGGAAATCCATTCTTCAATTACAGACGGCCACTCAGCAGTCCTTTTTTTCTAAGAAAAGTT